TGCACCAAAGCCAAGGCTTTGCTGGCCCAGTGGATGTAGCGCAGAGAACCTTCTCTACAGCCGGGCCAGGCTCCTGTGTATACTGTGATGCCCCACAGAGCTATCATCTTCCTGTGAAACCAGCTCCCGAGGGCATGGTCTCATCGTGCTGAAATTCAGCATGGCCAGCAGGCTGCCTGTCTGCTCTGTCCTCCTGTCTATCGTGATGGGTATTTAGAAGATAGGAGGGACACCATTCCTGCCTTTCCCAGTGCCGCTCCAGCCAGTGGTAACTGGCCCCCAGTTCTTCAGTTGCATCTGCCTTCAGGGCTGATGTTGGGGTCTCTGTTGTTCTGAGCAGCTGTGTGATGCAGTAGTCTCTTAGAGGGCTCATTTATCTGGTTCCTTCCCCAAATATTAAATAAGCACCCACTACATACTAGGGCCCGAGAACACAGAGGAGATGTATGTTCCAGGAAGGCAAGTCTTATTCTGGTTTTATGCCAAAGACAGATTTAGGGTGGACTGTCATAAGTCATATTATGACAAATCATGCCATAGACTTATGTAGTGTTTTATACTTTGCACAGTATATCTGTAGTACATGTCTGTTACAGTAGAAAGAGAAGCATCATCCGTCCTGTCCTCCTCCTGTAGATGGCGGTCACTCACCTACTTGCCAGACAGCTCAGGACTTCAGGTTTTGATTGATGGGCCAGGCACTGTTACTACAATTTACTTCAGACACTGTCTGTTTCAATAACAAAGGCTAGTGTGCAGGTATTGTTCAAGTTTCTTTTTTTCTTTTTCTTTTTTTTTTTCCTTTTGAGAGTACTTATTTATTTATTTGAGAGCAAGAGAGCACAAGCCAGGTGGGTGGGAGGGGCAGAGGCAGAAGCAGACTTCCCGCGGAGCAGGGAGCCCGATGTAGGACTCGATCCCAAGACCCCGGGATCATGACCTGAGCCGAAGGCAGACGCTTAAAAACTGAGCCACCCAGGTGCCCCTTGTTCAGGTTTCTTGGACTAAACTCTAAAGAGAGATTTCTCTTTGGATCTCGTGCTTTAGAGCCCTGCTTTGGCTAATACGTAATCCACATCCCTGTGTAGTTGGGGGGGCAGGTAGGCCTCTGGATCTGCACTAGTAATTTTCTCTCCTTCTTACCTAGTTTGTCCTCTCCTGTGCACTGGGACTGCCATCTACATGTCTTATTCTCTCGTTGAAGTGAGAGCCACAGATGACAGAATGAGTAGGTTTTCCAATGAGTGATCCACCTGGTAATAGGATTGTTTTTTTCACGGGAAAATGCGGTAGACCTATTTAATTTAGATTTCATTATAGGAGAGCGTACCTTTTTTTAGGTACTTAACTTGTCCACTCTTCCCATTTCTTGAGATTGAACTTGAATTCAGTGCTTAAAGGAGCTCCGAAAGAATAGAGTTAACATGTGTGGGCTGTTGCTGAATGAGGCAGAATATAAATATTAATTCCATAGGCTTTAATTTATTCATACGTTATATAAATTTCACCATCAATTGAACAGTTGCCTATTTCTGCTGTTCTGCCTTTTGAATTTTATTGAAAAGATTACACGGTCGTTCTCTAGCAGCCTTAAGCCAGATCCTAATAAACTTTAGTTGCAAATAAAGCCAAGTGTACAAACTTGTTATCAAGTAACTTGGGAAATTAGAACAAATATGTAGATATTTATTAATTGGAAATAGACATTTTGATTTTACTACTTACTACTTCATTATGAACCTTGGTGCCAACAATGTGTGTTAGCCTAGGCTTGGATCATTTGTATTCAGTCTGATCAAAGGAGAATAAATATAGAACAGGAATTCAGAAATCTACAAATCTTTAGAAGTGAATAGCTCTTACCCCAAACTGTAGGCGAGGACTGGAGAGTAGCCTTCAGTTCTACCAGGTTCTGTCAAGACAGTCTACGACGGGGGAGGTGGGTGGCTGCAGCCCTTTGCAGGACTGTCCATTGGTTTTCCTGTTCGCTCTGACTGGTTAAGGTCAGCCTGGAGTGGGCTCTGGGCCGAGGGAGCAGAGCCTGACCTCCTGCAGGTAGCCTGGACTCACTGTGCTTGATCTCTGGAGGTGTGTGTTGTCATAGACTAAGGATGGCATTTCCCCCTGTTTTTTAAATGTATAGCTGGACATTTCCCTACCTGCCATCTGTGATCTTTGACCTTACCTTGGTTCTTGCCCTGTGAGGTTCAAAACCACCTTGAGATAGTTTCCTTCATTGTTGATTGAAGAAAAGAAGAAAAAGTGACAAGAAATCTGTCAGAGTGGGACGCCTGGGTGGCTCAGTCAGTTAAGCATCTGCCTTTGGCTCAGGTCATGATCCCAGGGTCCTGGAATCGAGTCCCGCATCGGGCTCCTTGCTCAGCAGGGAGTCTGCTTCTCCCTCTGCCGCTCCCTCTGCTTGTGCTCTCCTTTCTCTCTCGGACAAAAAAATAAATAAAATCTTTTAAAAAAAGAAAAAAATCTGTCAGAGTGCATCAAACATTCTGAAACATTTGGTTCAGCCACTTAGAAAGTGCTTTGCCCAGAGGCTCACCAGGCAAGTAGTACCCAACTAACCAGACCACCTACCCACCTCATTTTCACCCTGGCAAGACAATTCTAGAAATAGGTTTTTCAGAACAGGTTGGGTGAACTTTGAGACTCACAGAACTCCTTTGGGAGTTCATTGGCTTCTTGGTACTTAGTCCCCTCTGCACCAAAGGGTGATGCCCTTGGATGGTTGGTGTGAGTAGGAGGACAGTTACTTCTTCCTGCCCTGTAGTTGCTACCCACTTTGGTTTGTTGATGCTAGAAACTTCCACAACAACATTGATTTTCTTGTTTGTCAGATTGGTGGCTCTAAGGAGTGCACTCCATGACAGGTGGGAGAGGTGCATCTACACATGCTTAAAACCGGGCATGGCTCACAGCAGGCACTCAGGAAGTCCTGGCTGACTTCGAGGCCAGGGCGAGTTCATGGAGGCGTGAATGGTGCACATGCCTACTAGCATACATGTCCTAAGTAGAGAAATTTTAAATGAAATCCAGGAAGTAGAAATCCTAAGAATGTTTTTTCTGCAAAATCTTGGGCCACTAAGAACAGGGTTTGATTTTATTCAATGAAACAGAAATTCTGAGAGAAAGAATTACTTCATGGAGTTAATTTGGGGTAATGCTTTTTGAAAATACAGGTTCTTGCTTCAGTTCTTCAGAGTTTCAGGTAACAACTGAAGGAACCTAGTTGAGAATCAGAAATGCCCGTTATGTTAAGAGCTACCATGTCGCTTGGGTTAAATCATCTGAACTGAAAGTTGAGCCTAATTACTGGGCTTTGAGAAGAATTTGTTTTTGTTTCAGTTACTCAGGTTGAATTTGAAGTTCGATTGAATTTAAATTTGTTTCCATTTACTCAAGGAAAGCAAGTAGGGTAAAAGTGGCAACTGGAACGTGTTCAGTTTCAAGCAGGTGAAAATGTCAGCAGTGAGGGCCATGCCTAGATGCCACCTGCACGTATGAACATGCTCGGGAGCAAGATCTTCTTGGTTATACTAGTTTGTGTTTTTATGTGGACATTTCAGCTGAGAAAGGTCAGCTGTGGTGAGCATTGGTTTGTTTGCAACCTAGAATCTTAGAGCTGAAAGAAATAATGTAATTCTTCTTGTTCAAGACACTCATCTTACAGGTGAGATCAGGGTCCATAGGAGGAGTGAATGGAAGTTGCCCGGCAGCAGTGGTCCCCGTGTGGGGTTAGCCGGGAGAGCTGAGCCACGGTTTCTTGATTGCGGGCAGTGCTCTTCCCTAGGAGGCTGTCCCTCACAGGGTACCCTTCCTCCCACTTTCCAAACATCAAACTCACAGAGACACCAGAGAAGTCGAGCAAGCACCAGGCAATAGGTAGGATATTAGAACTTTGAGGAAAAGCAAAGGCAGGTGACTAAAGAAGCCAATCCTTCCAGAGTGGCAGGCCGGGCTGGGTGTCACTGCAAGGTTCCCGAGCTTACTCCTGTACGGGCTGAAGCTGGAGGGAGGCATAGATGGGGGGCTCCTCCTTCCTGTTCTTGCCTTTAGCTACTGTATGTTTGATTTTATTTCACTAATTAAAAAAAACTTCTTTATGGAGCACTCAACTCTAACTTGTGATATTAGAGAAGGTAGTATAACAACCTCCCTACACCCGTCACATGGTTAGGAGTTAGCAACATGGGGTGCCTGGGTGGCTCAGTCGTTAAGCGTCTGCCTTCGGCTCAGGTCATGATCCCAGGGTCCTGGGATCGAGCCCCGCATCGGGCTCCCTGCTCCTTGGGAGCCTGCTTCTCCCTCTCCCACTCCCCCTCTTTCGCCGTGTTTCTCTCTGTCAAATAAATAAACAGAATCTTAAAAAAAAAAAAAGAGTTAGCAACATATGGCCAGTCACTTTTCATCTAGGCCCCTTTCTTGCCACAACCCCTTGCCTCCTGGGATTATTTTAAAGTGAATCCCAGAGGTTATATCATTTCGTTGTCAACATGCCTACTACTATTTTGAGCTAATGGAAACAGTTTCAATCTGATGGGGGAATTTGAAAGAAAGTAGTTACTGGGGGAGTGGTTCAGGATTAAACTCAAGGAGCTCCCCTTTGTCAATGATTCTGGAAGCTCCATTTTCCAGATGATTTTCTTAATGTGTTGCTGCCATTGTCGGGGCATGGGGGTGTTAGGGTGAGGAGTACGGCTGGGGTGAGGGTGGAAAGGTGCTGGCTCTTGGAATGATGGTTAAGGAGGTAAGGCAGAGCTGTCGGGAGCGGCTTTGGTCTTCTGCCTTTATGTGCTGCCATTGGAGCAAGTTGCTCTGTTCATAACCCAAAAGGAACCTGGAGAATGAGCATTCAATTTATAATTAAAATGAGGGTTTCACAAGAAGTAATGATTTTTGCTTCAGTGGGTCAAAGTGAGCATTTCTGAGGCCCTTCCTCTTGTATGTGATCGTGTCATGACCGCTCATGTTGCCTCTTTCTGTTTCAGATGGGAATGACTGGTAACACAAGTCCATTCGGACAACCCTTTAGTCAAACTGGAGGGCAGCAAATGGGAGCCCCTGGAGTAAACCCCCAGTTATCCAGCAAACAGAGCATGGTCAATAGTTTGCCTCCCTTCCCTACAGACATCAAGAATGCTTCAGTCACCAACGTGCCAAACATGGTAAGTTGCCCTTGGCCCTCAGGCTGTGGTCTCCAGTGGGTGCTTTGGCGTGTGGAGTGTGTCATGCGAACTGTGAAGATCTGCAACTGGATGTGTGTCGTGGGTGATAGGAAAAGAGAAATAGTCCTGAGTAGCGCGCTCTCAGTGAGTTTCTCTTCGCTGAGCCAGAGGCTAGGTGGAGGTGGCTCCCTCTGTGCAGGAGGAGCTTCGTGGCAGTCATGGAGCAGGAAACAGCCGGGCTCTTCTCACACTTCCTGTTAGTGGGTGAGGCTGTCCGAAGAAGCCCATCGACTTGTGTTATAAACGAAGGGCGTTGACCTCCAAGGACTGCAGTGTACCTGGGTGATGAGGATGTCGTGTCCGTCTTGGTAGAGGGCTTCACATGTGTTTCTTCTTCCTGAGATTTCCTACCTGTAAGAGAGGAGCTAGCCTCAGAGCCTCCTAGCCTAACTAACCAAGATCGTGATGGGAAAATAGCTCCCTTTGCCCTGCAAAATGGAATCTTTCAAAATTCCAAACCCTGAGGGGCAGGTGTGTTCTTTTGTCAGACTTCACTGTGCACACTTAGTGACTGGATATCTGATGTGCCTTTGGTGGTCGGTCAAGGCCAGCTGTCTTCCCTGGGCTTATTGCTGGGGACCTGCCCTTCCGAGCTTGCCATCCACGTAGTTGTGCAGTAGCGGTTTCCCGAGGCTCAGAAGAAAGCCAGGGATTATGTTCAGAAAAGCATCATCTTTGTTTTGTCTTTTGATTTTTAAAAACTTTTTCTTTATATATAAAGATACCACGGAGAATTCCTATATCTCTGTCACTTGGCTTCTCCTGATGTTAGCATCTTAAGTAACCTTGGTACAGTTGTCACAACTAAGAAATTGACATTGCTTACAGTACTTATAGTTTTGAGGCTGTTGGAAGTTGGGGGGGGGAGTTGTTGGATTACTCTTAGTTTTTGATAAAATCAGAAAATGGGGTAAGAGCAAGGTATCCTGATCAAGTGTTCTCTCTGTTACATTCTTCTTTCTTTAAAAAAAAAAAAGGCGGGGGGGGGACAAGTAATAAAACATGTTCTCAAACTATTTAAATTTTTTACTACTTTATTTCTTCTGATCATCTCCCCATAACCTCCCTGGATCTGCTGTTCTCCTTGCAATAACATTTTGTTGCCAGGATTGTCCTGTTCTCAGTGGTGCAGATCCAGAACCCGAATCAAAGCCACCACTCCCTGGGTCGGCTCCTCTGAGCTCTGGGACAGCAGGTTGGGACCTGGCATCCACGCTCTTGATGCTCTTCCTTTTCCAGTCTCCTTGTGTGGACTTGAGTGCTGGTGATCGTCCCCTGAGCTCAGCCAGAGTGAGAGTACAGAGAGTTTGTGTTTTGTTGTCTGGGAAACCCCACCTTACATTTTCCTCCCTTCTCTCTTTTCAGATCTTCCCCAGCCCATTTCCCCCGTTCTCTCTCCTTTACCTAAAGCTTGGTGGCAGAGGCCCTTTGCCTTAGGTTCCCCTGTCTGCCTCTGCCTCTGGGGACTGAATTCCTGGCATTGGTGTGCATATCGGGGCAGATTCATTTTGGACTTTAGAGAGGCTTCTGGGTCCCTTCACATGTACCAGGGCTGGTGGGGACAGTGGGGACAACCCTTTGGTCTGGGGCAGGGCTTCTTTCTCCCTCAGCACTGTTGACATTTGGGACTGGATCTTTCTCTGTTGTGAGGGCCATCCTGTATATTGTGCCCTTCACCCACCAGGTGCTCACAGCCGTTCCTCTATCCCCACAGTCGCCCCAGGTGAGAACACCTGCTCTGGGAAGGCAGTAGCACTAGCATTCTATTCTCTCTCTGTGTTTGTGACATGTAGCTCTCTCCATCCCTCTCTTTTTCTCTCCCTCTCCCTTCCAACTACACTCTTTCTTACTCAGAATATCAGGGTAAACTGAGGAAGTGTTTTGATCTGTAGAGCTGTGCTGTTTGCCTAGCCACCACTGTCCCACAGGGGTATGCATGCACTTTGACAGAGATCCCCAGCAGGGAGGGCAGGCTTTGAATGCTATCCTCAGACATTCGCCTGGAGCGTACGGGGCAGACTTTGCCAGCATGTGTGTCTATAAGGGAGCATGGCCCAGTCGCAGCCTTGGTGCTGTTGGGATGGGAACCAGAGGGGACTGGCAGAGACGTGGGACAGCCAGTGCACAGTTTGCCTGAGGTCTTTCTAAGTGCCCTCATGCCCTGCAGTTTACCTTATTTTTATAACAGTCTCTTAAAAGACATTACTACATGTCCCATTTTACAGATGAGGAAGTTGAGGGTCTGAGGGGTTCTCATTTGTTCAAGGCTATGAAGCTCCTGTCTGCAAAGCCTAAAGCTCTTTTTAATAATGCCTGGTATCATGTTTTAGCAGCCCTGAGTCCACTGGGAATGCTAGCCTTTGTTTATGTCGCATCCTTGAGCATGTTTTGTGGTCTTCCTTAAATTTTTTAAATTATACCTGACCCCTTGGAATCTGTGGATTTTTTTAATTTTATTTTTTATTTTTATTTTTGCACAGTGAGGGAAAGAAAGTAGCAAAAACTGGGTGTCTTTAATGGGAAAAAAGAATATGAAGCCTTTTTTTTTTTTAAAGATTTATTTTTATTTATTTGACAGAGAATGAGATAGAGCAGGAACACAAGAAGGGGGAGTGAGAGAGGGAGAAGCATACTTCCTGCGGAGCAGGGAGCCCAATGCGGGGCTCGATCCCAGGACCCTGGGACCATGACCTGAGCCGCAGGCAGACACTTAACGACTGAGCCACCCAAGCGCCCCAAGAATATGAAGCCTTGATCTTATTTGTGGTTTTTTTGTTCATCCTTTGGGGAATAATCTTTTAAAACCCAACTGGATCTGGTATACCAAACAATTCAGCTCAGGGCTCTGGTGCCACATCACCTGATGCCCTGGTCGAGCTCTTCATGGAATGATTTTAAGCTACTCAGTCATTGATCATGGGGCGCTTGCATTTTCCTCTCTCCTAGTTTTTGGAGGACTCCAGCATCCCCAGGTAGTGTTGAGAAGGGAAGGGGATGTGGCCATCCCTTTAATTCACCCCATTTGTCGAACACCTTCTCCTGGCCCATGTGCTCCCAGGATGCAGGTGTGAGTGAGCTCACCCCCTCTTTGATGAAATTTGGTTGGTGGTGATGAAAACCAAATCATCACAAAACACTGCCCTAGCAGGTCTGAGTAGCAAGCAGTGGTTGAGGTTGCCACAGGGACCTCCTTAAGGCCAAACCAAGGAGGGACATTTAAGGGCAAGGTCAGAAGATGAGCAGAAGCCACAGAGACCTGGGGGCACGGGGAGAGTGTTGGCTTGTATAGGGACCAGCAGGCAGCTAGTGGGAAAGGCAACTCTTGAGGGAGTGGAGAGCCATGTATTGGAATGTTGGGGGCCGAGCAGGAGCCAGCTCAGGGAGGGCTTTGGGTGGCAGGGATCACTGCGGTGGTCTAGACTAAAGGACACACTTGATCGCAAAGGGGACGGAGACCAGACAAGGTTTGCCACTGGAACATAAGTGTGGGCCCCACCACATAAGGCGACTTGGTGGGTGGGGGAACCATTTACAGAGCTGGGGGAGGAACAGACTGGAGAGGGGTGAGGACGAGGTGACAGAGGGGAGGGTGTTCGTAATTGCACTTCACCTGTGTTCCTTTTGAGATGGTTGTGAGATGTCCAGGTGGGGTTGTCAAGCAAACGGGTGGGCAGGCATACAATAGGGCAGCCGCTGTGCCGCTCCCAAGGGAGTGAGAGAGCCCTGCAGGGGAGACAGGTGGAGGAGGAGCCGGGTAATGGGATGATATCACTGCAGTGGAGAGAGGAGGAGATTTGAACAGGAGGGGATGGCGAGTCAGGCGCCAGGGCAGAAGAGTGTCCCCGGAACATGGGGGTCAGTCTGTGGGGCAGTCTTTCATCTTTGAAGTCAGTGGTCATGGAGACCTGTGACTATGCTCTGTTGTCCCCCACAGCGTTCCCAGCTGTCATGATCCTCTGGGATGTGCTGGGGGGCTCTGGTAGGGAGTGGGGGAGGCTCCAGGCCCCGGTGCAGGTGGGATCATTGTTGAGGGCTCATAGATCCTCAGGATAATACTCCAAAGCAAATTGGCACATTTTCCTAAATTTTTAAATGTATCTCATCATAGTTCTATGTTTGGCCATCGTGTTTGTAATTTCTTAACTTTCTACAGATTATTTAAGTTTGTTAGAAATTTCACCATATTAGTACTGTGTGTTATCATTCTAAGATGCACTTTTTTTTTTCCAGATTGTAGTATCTCTGAAATCAGGTTGTGTTTTAGAAATAATCAAGATTTATTTAAATCTAATAAAATACAGTCTGTATGCTATTTTACTTGTTCATAATTTGAATTAATAGGAATGATGTAACAGTTAAACATATATATTCACTGTATAGTTTTCCTGAACAGCTTTCATGGATAGAAGGATTTTTTAATTATTTAAATTTTACTGACAAAGAAACAGGAGCAGATTTGGGTTGGGGTAGAGGTTGGGTCATCTTTCTGTGGACTGGGATTGAGGTCCAGGTAGGCCATCTTGAAGGAGGGGGGTGTGCACATGGACGTGTGAGGAAGCAGAGAGGGGGAGATAGTTTCCCGGGCAGTGCTCTGGAAGAGGAGGCCCCCTCATTCCTGGTGATACTGTCCAAGAGGGAGGGACATCTGACATCATTTGGGACTGGAGTTGTCAATTAGGTCATTGCTGACCTTCACAACAGGTTCAGGGTTTGTTTTTAAAGGAGCATTGTTAAGAAGTGGGACGCATTTTGGGTGTATCTAATCTGAGAAAGTTTGGTGACCAAAGGAGCCTCCTCGTCAGGTTCTCCCATGGACTCTCCTGTGGGGCTCCCAGATGTAGTCTCCTGCCGGGTTCTTTCTAATAGGAAGTTCAGGGGAAGGGGGGGTGTTGTTGTTCTTCCTGTTTGGTTTAGGGCTTTTGTTTGTTTTTTGAGAAAAA